GTGCACGTTCAGGGCCAAGAGCCCCTCACGGCCTCCATGCTGGCTGCTGCACCTCCTCAGGAGCAGAAACAGATGCTGGGTGAGACTGACAGTTACAAACAAATGCTGTTCAGGGTTTTGTTTTTTTGGCAAATTTATACTGACTCACAATTTCATTTTTCTCCGTAGGGGAGCGTCTGTTCCCGCTGATTCAGGCCATGCATGCCAACCTAGCAGGAAAGATCACCGGCATGTTGCTGGAGATCGACAACTCTGAATTACTACACATGCTTGAGTCCCATGAGTCTCTACGTTCAAAGGTACCTCACTACCTCAAGCACACTGAATAGTCTGGTATCCATTTTCTAAGCTGCGTCATGCTCGTGTTTGTGTTTGTACAGGTAGAAGAAGCTGTTGCAGTTCTACAGGCTCACCAGGCGAAGAAAGACGCCACCCAGAAAGTAGGTGGCATGGCTCCTACTGCTGCTGCTGCCACATCCTGAAGACTCTGAGCTATTCGAACTTGGTATGGAAATCCATGTTTAGTCAAGCTAATCAATCAGGCTATACATAATAAAGATTGTGCGGCACTAATGGGAAGACATTGTGTTGTTTCAGAGCATAGAAAACTGAGAGGAGATGGGAAGAGACGCACTACACTGGAAAGCCCAGAGTCTTCTGAACAATCGCACGAAAACAAAAATCGAGAAAAAAACAGAAAACATTATTTTAAATGTACACTTTGAAAAAATATTACACAATGCATAATTTTGTAGTTCTGTAATACTTTTAACGCTGCACACCAGATGCAGTGATGCAAATGAATCTTGAACAAAGGCCCTTTATTTTGTGGCAAAGGAGAGGAAGTAAAAAGAGCCTTGTTCTTCGTCTTTGCTTGAAAGCTTCATGTTGGTGTGAGATGACTCCTCCATCCTGACACGTTATCAATGGGTGTGTGGTAATTTCAATAAAGGGATGATATGTCCAGGCGACTCACCTTGTGTTATTTTAATTGAGAGGGAAAGTGTGCAGAAGCGGAGAAGCACATCAAGTAATCTGTGAGACGTGATGGAGGTAATGTTTAAGCATTTAATGATCATGTGACTGTTGATGGAAGCAGCAGGATGTGATGTGGAGTGAGCAGAGCTGTAGACTCTGCTCAGGTTCAGACAACTGTAATAAAGCCGCACAGAGAGCGCTACAGCGTGCAAATGGATAATTACACAGAGCTGCAAAAGCAAGAGTTTACTCCAGGTAAATAAATCTAGATAATCTTCAGTGGCCAAGTCAGGCACCTGATCTCAGCCCAACAGAGCAGCCTTTTCTCATTACTGAAGATAAAACTGAAGGCACAGACCCTCAAACCAAGCAGCAACTGAAGGTGACTGCAGTGACAGCCTGGCCGAGCATCTCAAGAGATGAAACGAAGCCCCTGATGATATTCATGGGCTCTAGTCTTTCAGCAGTCATTGATTTTTCATCCAAATATTAAAAACAAGAAAAATTATTAAATTAATTTGTCCAGCTGCTATTAAACCTCTGAAAATGGAGAACTATGTTTTTAAAAATGGTTGCAATGCTAAACTTTTGTTAAACTCCTTAAATTAATGCTAAAGGCTAAAGAAACATGATAACGTACTTATAAGTTGTGTTTGGTATTATTTCGGGTGTTTCTTTTTTAGCATTTAATCAAAAAGAAGGAAAAAAGTTAGGAAACGTTTCCCTATATTCAAATGATCCAGTGGGGAAACTGTCAAAGTGGCTTTGTAGTGCTTACACAT